ATATATATGCATGTGCGCGCATGCGCACATCGGTACCTCTGGGTGGCTGGGTATTTGTATGTATGCATGCACTGGAGCTGGGCTCCCACTCTCATAGCTAATATGCAGTGGGAGTGAATAACCATTCAGCCTAGAATGTTCCCATTGTGTAGGGAAAGTCACCAAGCACCAGGCAAATGCCTGGATCTCTGGTCTCCATGTGAGCTGTCACTGGCTGAGCCTCTTTCCTCAGAGAGGCATGCCACTGGGAGTGACCTGAGTCCACACAGGGCAGCTGGTAGCTGCGCTGCAGCACAGGGGACATAGCAAGACCTCAGTGGGAAGGGCATGTGGCCTGGGGCACATGGTCAGGGAGGCAGTGGACCTGATGTGTCACAGCTGAAACTGTGCATAGGGCCTAGGAGGATGCACAAGAACGCACGTGTGGGTGTGTGGCATCGAGAAATTAGTTTGTTTTACCAAATCTGTGTTCTCTGAGGTTGTCACGAACCCTAAGGACCATATGGCCATGGGGTCTTTTGAGGGCAGCCCAGGACCTATGGGTCTGAGTTTGCTTATGATGTGTTTCAGTTTGCCAAGAGCCTGGCCAAGTTCATCAGTGACCAGAACATCAAGGATCTGAAAGTCTGGACAAGCCAGATGAAGAGAACAATCCAGACAGCCGAGGCACTGGGTGTGCCCTACGAGCAGTGGAAGGTCCTCAATGAGATCGATGCGGTACTTACCATCCCTTCCCTCGCCTGCCCAAGTCTCCCGGGCACAGCTGTGCTCACCTGTGATGACCATGTGCAGAGTCAGGGAAAACTTTAACCTTAACCTATCCATTACTTTTTGATTCCTCCCTCCCTCTCTTATGTGTTCAACTATCTAGACCAACCAGGATTTACTTTAATGATTTGACAAAAGCCTTAAATCTGATCCTTCCCCAGTTAACTCATTAACTGTCTGTCAACCCTTTTCCTATTACTTTCTTTTACTTAATTTTATATGAAGTTCTTACATATGATTTATGTATCTGTTCATGCACCAGTACCTTACTGTTTTAATTATGGTAGCTTTTTACTATGTTTTTTGGCCACTTGGATGAGTTTACTAGGTTTTTTTGAGGTCTTTTGCTCTTTTTTTCCTATTGGATTGTTTGTGTTTTCCTATTGATTTTTAGGAGTTCTTTATATATTCTAGAGCTGATGCAAACCTGGTAATTTTTGATTAAGAGCTGGACATTGTGTATGAAGAAGTTTGAAGGTAATTTGAGGCTCTGGTTAATGTTATCTTTCTCTAGAGGATTTACTTTTGCTTCTGGGAGACAGTTAAGGGTGGATCACCTTTGCCTAGTCAGGGATAGAGCTCTTTCAAAGCTGTGCTTTGATCTTTGTGGTGGCTACTCAATTTTCAGGTTACTCCTACGATTAGGGTGTAGCCTTTAAAGTTCTGACTGAAAACCTTGTGAGCCCCAAGCTTCTATTTTTTTCTCTCCTCAGCTCAAAATTGCTGACAGCTCCACCAAACTTGTGCCCACTTCGTCCCTACTTTCTGCTTGGCTTCTCACTCTTTCAACTGCCACTTTTGAACTGGCAAAAACTCGAGGGAAGAAGTGACGCCATGTATCAGGTTCACTTCTTGGGACTTCACTTTGCTCCAACATCTTGGCCCCTCACGTCCTTCCCACCTTTATAACTCTATGACGATGTCAAACAGATTTAAATATTTTCCTGTCTGGCGTTTTTAGTTGCTCTTACTGGATTGCTGGTTTGAAATAAGCTGGTCCACCATTGCCCAAAGCAGAAGTCTCTAACATGATCAGATCTGAATCTTAGAAGTCACCCCTGGCAACTAACTGGTGTCAAGAATGGTTTTGTTGGGGCGAGGGGGGGAGACAAGCTGGAGAAGGGAGACTAGTTGGGGGTGCTTGCAGTGGCCTGGTCAAGTGATAACATCTGGAACTTGGGTGGTAGTGGGGGAGAGGGAGAGGAGTGGATGGATTTGAGGGGTATTTATTTATTTATTCATCACATATTTACATGAGCCTACCTGCTGCCAGAAACTGGGCCCAGTTCTGGGGACCAAGATCCTGGTGGAGAAGTGATAGAACCGCGGTGGTAAAAAGGAGTGTCTGGGATGAGTCTTAGTTTCCAGCCACTGGGGTGGGTTCTGGGGCAAGGAAGGTGATACACTCACCTAAGGGCAGAACCATATCTGTTTGGTTCACCACATGGTAGATGCACAGTAAATATCTACTGAATGAAAAAAAGTTTCCAGGACATGTTCAAGAGCAGATACCCAGGAGGCAGTCTGGTCTCCAAGGACGGGTTGGGGCTTATGCATCCCCCCATAGACATGGAACGGATGTGGTGGCAGAGGGTGGAGAAGTGGGGCCCAGGACAAAGCTCTGGGGAGTCCCCGCATTTAAGGGCTGTGGAGGGGTATCCCGTGGGGTGGCAGGGAAAGCAGGCAGCTAGGGTCATGGAAGTCAGGGCAGAGAGGAGGAGGCAGTGCCAGGGGGGTGAGATACTGCAGGGTGGGGGAATGAGGCCAGGCTCCAAACAGACCTATCAGAACAGTGTCACTGGGGTTCTGGGCCTGGTCCTGGTGGGGCTGGAGCCCAGGGGGAATGGGTGGGGAAGTGCGTGGGAGGCAAGTGGGCTCAGAGTGGAAGGAGGCTCGGCCAAGTGTAAACTGACAAAATGGGGCTGGAAGGAAGGGAGGGAGGGGGATTCAGGAGGCTCTGAGAGGTGCCAGTGGCCCAGATTCCAGGGTATCAGGAGGTGAGCGGGGCATAGGTGGGCACAGGGAACTGTGTCTGGTGTCTTTTCCCCCTGGTTATCGCCGGTCCACAGAAAACCCCAGGCCAAATTCTTTGACGCTAGTAATTTTCAGTGAATTCTCTTGGCTTTTCTCGAGGAACTGCCTTATCCTCTGGAATAAGGATAATACAGTTTTTGCCTTCCCAGTTTAAGTACCTTGTGTTTCTGTTTCATATTATTGCATTGGCAAGAATAAGTGATCAGCACACTGAATGTCCTTCTTTTGTTCTTAATTTAGTGGGCCTGCCCCTCAGGTTCCCATCCTTTGGAATAGGTGATAGTAGTGAGCTGATCCAGTTCCTGTTTTGTTTCTTAACTTCATTATAGAAAATTTTCAATTGTATATAATTATAATTTTCAGTTATATATAAAAGCAAAAAAAATACTGCAATGAATCCCTATGTACCCAATACCAACGTCAACAATGTTCGATTTATGGCCGGTCTTGTTTTGACTATCTCATTCCCATCCCCCCTGGATTATTTTAAGGCAAATTCAGACATAATGTTTCATTTCAGTATTTATCTCTAAAAGTAAGTTAAGGGCTCTCTTTTTTCCTTAACATAACGAAATCATCATTTTGAAACTTTAAAAAATAGTTATTAAATATCTAGTCTGGAATGAGTGTCCTGGTTCATGCCTATAATCTCAGCATTTTAGGAGGCTGAAGCTGGAGGATGCCTTGAGGCCAAGAGTTTGAGACCAGCCTGGGCAACATAGCAAGACTCTGTCTGTACAATAAAAATTTTTTTTTAAATTAGCTGGATGTGGTGATGTGTGTCTGTAGTCCTAGCTACTTGGGAGGCTGAGGTAGGAGGATCGCTTGAGCCCAGAAGTTTGAGGCTGCAATGAGCTATGATGATGCCACTGTACTCCAGCCTGGGTGACAGAGCAAGACTCTGTCCCTAAA